CTTGATCATGGTGGATAAGCTTTTTGATGTGCTGTTGCAATCGGCTTGTCAGTATTTTATTGAAGATTTTTGCATCTATGTTCATCATGGATATTGGCCTGAAGTTTTCTTTTCTTTCTAAGTCTCTGCCGGGTTTTGGTATCAGGATGATGTTGGTCTCATAAAATGTTTTGGGAAGGATTCCCTCTTTTTGGATTGTTTGGAATAGTTTCAGAAGGAATGGTACCAGCTCCTCTTTATAAGTCTGGTAGAATTAGGCTGTGAACCCATCTGGACTTGGGCTTTTTTTGGGTGGTAGACTATTAATTGCTGCCTCAACTTCAGCCCTTGTTATTGGTCTATTCAGGGTTTCGACTTCTTCCTGGTTTAGGCTTGGGAGGATGTAAGTGTCCAGGAATTTATCCATTTCTTCCAGGTTTACTAGTTTATGTGCATAGAGTTGTTTGTAATAATCTCTGATGATGGTTTGGATGGTTTATGTGCATAGAGTTGTTTGTAATAATCTCTGATGATTTCTGTGGAATCTGTGGTGATATCCCCTTTATCGTTTTTTGTTGCATCTATTTGATTATTCTCTCTTTTCTTTTTTATTAATCTGGCTAGTGGTCTATTCTGTTGATCTTTTCGAAAAACCAGCTCCTGGATTTACTGATTTTTCGAAGGGTTTTTTGTGTCTCTATCTCCTTCAGTTCTGCTCTGATCTTAGTTATTTCTTTTCTTGTGCTAGGTTTCTAGTTTTTTTTTATTTTGCTCCTCTAGCTCTTTCAGTTTTGACGATAGGTTGTTGATTTTAGATCTTTCCTTGCTTCTCATTTGGGCATTTATTGCTATATATTTTCCTCTAGACACTGCTTTAAATGTGTCCCAGAGATTCTGGTGTGTTGTGTCTTCATTCTCATTGGTTTCAAAAAACATCTTTATTTCTGCCTTCATTTCATTGTTTATCCAGTCAACATTCAAGAGCCAGTTGTTTGGTTTCCATGAAGCTGTGTGATTCTGAGTTAGTTTCTGAATTCTGAGTTCTACCTTGATTGCACTGTGGTCTGAGAGACTGTTTGTTATGATTTCGGTTCTTTTGCATTTGCTGAGGAGTGATTTACTTCCAATTATGTGATCAATTTTATAGTAGATGTGATGTGGTGCTGAGAAGAATGTATATTCTGTGGATTTGGGGTGGAGAGTTCTGTAAATGTCTATTAGGTTTCCTTGGTCCCGGTCTGAGTTCAAGTCCTGTATATCCTTGTTAATTTTTTGTCTCATTGATCTGTCTAATATTGACAGTGGGGTGTTAAAGTCTCTCACTATTGTTGTGTGGGAGTCTAAGTCTCTAAGTCATTAAGAACTTGCTTTATGTATCTGGGTGCTCCTGTATTGGGTGCGTATATATTTAGGATCGTTAGCTCTTCTTGTTGCATTGATCCTTTTACCATTATGTAATGTCCTTTTTTGTCTCTTTTGATTTTTGTTG